CAATTTTCAGACGAGCATTATCTTTCTATTTATGAAAATGAGTTTTAAGTTCATGAACAACAGTTTTGATTACAGTTAATTTGTCCCTAGCTTAGTTAAAAAACGGTATGATCTATAAAGTGTCTGCTCTTACCTTTCGTAGCGCTTTCAAAATGTTTTAGTATGCATACAATTATTGCAACATGCTGCCATTTTTATCTGCTTCTGTAATCATAAAATCATTAATTACTCATGTTTTTTAGTGGTGATAAGAAATAGTTTTTTACAAGTTACAGTGAAAATAGGTTATAGTAAATATAACCACGGAATAAAATTAAACATAGAACTTAAATAAAATGTAAAAAAATTCCCATTAATTTTGATAAGAAGGCAAACAAAAATATAACAATATAGTTTACGGCACGTCGCAATGTATACTATATATGCCGTGGCATACGTCAAGGAATCAGCGTCAAATACTTGTTCAAACAATTTTGAAAATATAGATAATAGTAATAATATAAATCTATAGTTTTTAATGTCGGATTATTTTTGCTAATTTTAGAGCACCAAGAAAAATACCGAACATTAGTTAAAGATTTAGTATATAAAAGAGAGGTATTTTTAGTTTGTTTTGTTAAAGTTTTTTCTATATTACTAGATATTTCTTTATATCCTGGTGATTTGTTTTTTTAAAAAAAGAATACGCAGCTTCAAATTCTTTTGAGTTTAAACCATTATTTTGCTTAAAATGATTTTATTTTATGGAATTTTGGCAAACTTTAAATGATTCAGATGTTTGTATTATTTTATATACAAGTTTTGGACCAACAATTACAAAATACTCTTCCGTGATTTGTTTTTGAAATATGTCTGGGTAATTGGTGTTAATTCTTTTAAGCATTGAAGATGCTTGTTTATTTATATTTTCCATTACTACGTTGTTTATAATGAACTAACTAACTAGTAACATTAACATGTAAGTTATAACATCTGTTTTAAATATTTCTGTTTCAAATGTTGCATCTAGTTAGTTATTAATGAAAAATTAATAATTGATAAGATCTAAAAACAGATAAGTAAAATAATTTTTTTAAAATAAGTTTATTACAAATCAGAGCATCAAGACTCATGTAACCGGCGATATAAAGACTTTAATTTTCTTTGAAATTGTCTTAAAACTTTTGAATGTTTTATTTTTTTTCTGAAAACGTTTGAATGTTTTAATTTTCAACTTGGTGGAGTATATATGTATGTATGCATGCATGTATGTATGTATACATATATACATACATATATACATGCAACAAATAATTTAATTATTACGAGTAATTTCTAAACTAATTGTTAATAATTATAATAATAAGATTTAAATCATAGATAATCATAGTAACGTTTTTATTTTAAAAGCAACTTTATCTGATATAATAACTACCAGTTTTTTATTTATTTTTGCTAATGCCGGATCAAAGGGAGGCTATAGCCCCGGGCCCGCAAATTTAGGAGCCTCCTAAAAATTTTAGAGGACCTTTTTTTTTTTTTTTATTTTAGCCATTTTTAGGCTCTGGCCTATAAAAAGACCTCTAAAAACAAAAATAGGCCCGGGCCCCAAGAAGTCTTAATCCGCCATTGTTTTCTTCAAGCTGGCTTTAGCCAGCCAGATGAGGCAAGTTCGATCTATAGTTTTCTCTTTAAAGTTATTAATAAATAGTTTTAAAGAGAAAACTGTGTATCAAATTTTTTTTTTAAACTTTCTGAATTATTTTTCGTTAAAAAAAATACTAATTACATCTCTCAAGATATAAAATTATTTTTATACTTTACATTTTTATAGGGTTGTTATTAAGAATAAAATTTCTTTAATAAGCAGGGAAAGTTAGAACATGCCTAAAAAGCTCTCATATTTTCATAAAAGAGTATTTTATTAACCAGTTTTTGGAAGTAGTTTTTTCAAAAACTATTTTCAAAGACAAAGAAAAGAAACCATAAATAAATATAAGTACAAACATATTTTTTGTTATACGATACTCAAAAATGTTGAAAAGGAAAAAAAGAAACAAAAAACATAGAGTTCAATATAAAAATTATATTTCAAGAAAATGCTCATGAGATCGTAAAATTTTAATAATAAGAGTCTCCACTTTTATTTGCAATAACTTAATAATTGAATAAACTTAGCATTTCTTGTTCCAATTAAGCAAAGATGCTCACGCAAAATCTGTCACTTTGAAAGAAAAATATATTTAGGTACTATTAAACTACTAGGTACCGACTACAACAGAATATCAATTTCATTAACAATGACAAGTGGAGATTAAAGCAGAAAAAGTAAAATACTCTTTTGTATTTTATAACGACCTAACTGCTGACGTGAATGTTTTAACGACGTGACTGCTGACGTGAATGTGCCTGAGGTCGACAATTTTTGCTTACATCTTTTTTATGTTGTTTTAATAAAATTAATATTTTTCTTAAATAAAATTTGTTAGAATTGTTTAGCTCAATGAAGTAAGTACTTACAAGTAAAATTAAAAACGAGTTTTTAAAACCCAGTGTTTTAATATGTTATTAAAACACAAGTTTTGCAATTAATTTGATACTACTATTTTATTTTATCAACATTTGGCCGCATGCGTGTGTAAAAAAAATAAAATAAATTCATTAAAAGGCGGGTCTGTATCCACGAACGTTTACGAAATCAAGGCCATATTATGCGGCAGTGGTGTAGTGGTAAGAGCGCTCGCTTTGTAAGCGAGAGGTTCGGAGTTCGACTCCCACCACGTCCCTGGAAGTACCGCGCTCAACTTAGTTTCTCTGCGCAGCGGCCTTGCTTGTCAAGGTTCGTGTTTCGGAGTTAAAGAGTTGAGAGAGGGTTGTACCACGAAATACAACAAAAAAAAAAAAATAAAAAACACAAAAAAATGAGTAGCCTCCTCGACTGTAGTGGCCCCCTCGGGCCTTGGGGAGGTGAATAATGTAAAAAAAAAAAAAAAAAAAAAAAATTTAAATAAGCTAAGCGCGTGTATAAATAAAAATAAATAATATACTTATTTTAAAAATCAGGAAGTGAATCAAAAGTTGATTTTAAGATTTGATGTTAACAGAGACGATGAATTAATAAAAGCATTGGGAATAAAATGGTTGACAAAGCGCAACTTGTAATCATGATGAAGTTGTTGAAAACAGAGTTATGTTTTGGAAAAACTTTTATTAATGTTTCAAAACTTTGATATTTTTATCTATGTTCAATATCAGGAGGAAAGAAAGTTGACGAAAAAAAAATCTACCAGCACTGATTGCTCAAATTGTATATGTTCTTGTGGTACAAAATGATATTAAAAAATTTATTGTCAGATAGAGCTAAGATAAAAATAAAATAACATGCTTTTTATGCAAATTTTAAAAAAACGAAAGTAAATTTAAGTGTAATGCAGCTTCATACAAAAAAATCTAAAGGTTTCAAAACTAAAACTAGTTCAAAAGATAAAATGGCAGACAAATAAAGTAAAAACTGTGCCAGAAAATTGCCCGATATACATACATATTTTTGCACGAAATACGTGCTTACTTTCTTTGTTTATTTTCGCGTAAAAAGACGTAGTAATCTTTTTGATTAAGTTTTGATTTATGTATTAGATAGTAAAGATAATGAAAGTGGTTTAAACTCCTCTGATAGCGGTATGGGTTGCAGCATCTGCTAAAGTTTGATAGCAATGGAAGGAACTGTAATGTATGCAAAACTCAATTTAAAAAAATAAAAAATAAAAAAAATAAAAAAGACGTTGTAATCTTTTTGATTAAGTTTTGATTTATGTATTAGAGAGTAAAGATAATGAAAGTGAAACGATAAGAAACTTTTAAAAAAATTATAGTTTTAATTTTTAAGTCTCATTTAAAAAGATGAAATTTTTTGGCCGTAAGAAAGAGTTAAACGATTAAATAAGTTTTTAAGATTTGATGATTTTAAGATATTATAGTTGTTTTGCAAATAATTTGTTTGATGTTACTTAAAAAATTTGTATTTAACTAAAACCATTGAACCTATTTAGTAAAATGGACTAAAAATTTTGGATCTCAATCATGTCATATCAAAAGGTTTTTACAAACCTTATTTATGATTAATATTATTTTTTTAATTTTGTTACTTAGGTGGATCTCCTGCTTATAAAGTAGGCGCTCTTTAATTGATGAATACGTTGATATATAAATATGTATTTACTTGATTTTACAATCTCTCCTATTCGCTCTATGAGCTCGTCAACATCCATGATATTTTTCTTTAATCTTCAACAAAGCTTTTTCTTAATAGAATTGCAAAGATAGCTTTTTGTTTAATAAAGTTCGAAAATGATCTTTTTGCAATTGTCAAAAATTTTTGACTTGTTATAATAATGAAGATGACAAAAGTTATGTGGCAAACTAACTAATAGCGTAATATACATCTACTTCTTCATCATATCTGAACGTGGTATCTGATTTGATTGTGTTTTTAACATTACCCGTAACAGTTGATATCCAATCTTACGATAAAGTGTTATCTTGCAAATATATTTTATATTTTTCATCTTTACTAATTAGAATCAAATAAAGCAAAGAAAGAAATCTGTTGTTGTCTCAATGTCAAATCTTAGTTATTTATTAATAGACTATAAAATTAATATTTAATTTTATCTATGATTTACTATAAAAAAATAATCCATCATAATAATATTCTAGTATGATTTTTTTGTTGTTATTTTTAATATTACACTGTGAAAAGTATTTGAGACGTACGTTTCCCATACGTTTTGTGACTTGCGTTTCGACAAAATATACGTACGCATAATTTTTTTAGGTTATATAAACCTCTTTTATCTGGACCCCCCACATTAGCGGGCTCTACAAGCCCATAGTTACACCAAGAATAAAGAGGTAATAAATACTGAATTTATTGTTAGTTTTGAAAAACGTGCTTGCGCATGTGTGTTGTTATATATGTTTAATATAAAATAAATAAATCTCTTAAATAAATTGTCTCCTACCAACTTTTCCATCTTTACTGCGATCAAGAGATTGAAAGATTTTTTTAGCAACAAGTTTTGCACTAACTGCAGTCCGATTTGAACTTACGGTCGCATGTTCACAATACACTTTTATGAATTCTTCTTCTGTTAAATATCCTTTAGGATATTCATTCTTGAACTTTTCATTCATTGCACGTATTTCTTCTCTAGTAAATTTAGTTTGCTCAGTCAGACTTTCTACATTCGATTCGTTTTTAAATAACGATGCCAGCGAGGACTCAAATTGACCCATTATTAACTTTTTGATAATATAACAAAACAAAAAGTTATATAAAAGTTAAATTAATACAGACTTATGAATGTGTTGACACTATGAAGCAGACTTTTTTCTATCTGTAAAAACGTTTTTATAAAGCTTATGTCATATTTAAAGTTATTAAAGTTAATAATTAATAATGACGAAGAAGACAAAATATAAAATAAACTATCAATTTTTTATGAAGTAATTCGGTGCATCCATAATTGATCTTTAGAATTTTAAAAACAAGTAAAAAAACATTCAATTTAAAATATTTGTCATATTTTCTAGTTAAAATTGCAGAAAAAGTTAAACATTGAATTTTTAATAATATTCTAAAAACACACTTTTTATAAATTTAAAACTTTAACAAAGAACTGTTACAGTAAAATAAATTAATGTACTTGTCCAAAGCACCACTATGCTAACATGTTATAATGTTTTTAACCACTCAAGAATTAAACTGCTATCTAGCCAAACGAAAACTAAAAAATAATCGAGAACCTTATTTTTCATTTACTATTTAGTTATAATTGTAAGTTTATTATTTAATGATAATCATTATGTTTTGTAGTCTAGGCTGAAAAAAAAAATGTTTTATCTAATTTAGTTAGTTATTTTATCACAAAATAATCATCAGTAACTAAGTCAAAGTTTTTAGCATTTTACAGACAAGTTCAAACAATAAGCCTTCTACTTTTTCTGAGTTATCAAAATTAGATAAATATTAGATAAAAATTTTCGTATATATTTGTTACTTGCAGTAATACGCGGCAATAAAATATTGATTTTAATTTTTTGTTTAGATTTAAAAAGAAATATCGAACTTTTTGTAATAAAAAATTTATAAAAATTGAAAATTTTTATAAATTTTTTATTACAGAAAGTTCGATATTTATAGTAGTATAAATGCTGATAACCTATGCACTATAATAGTGCATAGGTTATCAGCATTTTTTGTCTACAAAGTTTTTCAAGTTTTTATATTATTTCTAAACCTGTTCTAATGTTCTCTTTTTATTTTGAAAAAAGAACTGATTGATCTGGTTCTCAGAATTAGAACGGCATCTACAGACTTCGGCTGGGGATGCACATTACACATCAAATAAGATCCAAAACGAGGGTTAGACATTTGCCAATAATTGATATAGGCACTAATCGAAGAATTATTAAACGAATCTATAGACTTTTTGATCCTAGTTGACGAAACGGCTGATATACCAGGAACAGAATAACTATCATTGACGGTTTTGTAAAAAATTTAGGTTTTAAATTTATATTCCGCAAAAAAAAACTGTGACTTTTATCAAATGATTTTGAGATTGCATATACTATTTAAAATTACTGCAACAAAATGTGGTAAAACAGACGCTACAAAAATACATGGACAAAAATATGATAGCTGTTCAGAGTTAATGGTAAAAATGGAGGTTCTAGAGATATAGGCAATAATAGATATAAAGATGAGGTAAAGATTTGTCCGCAAATGAATAGGTAAAATGCAACAAAATGCTCAGCAAAAAGGTTTGTAAAGTGCAAAAGTTTTTGCACTTTACAAACCTTTGTTGTATTTCTTGTGGTTATCCCTATCTTCTCAGCAATAAAGGAAAATCGTTACTCAGTCGTTGAAAGCAGTACAGCTAGATTAGTTAAATGTTTATTTTAACGTTTATTAAAACTTGTTTAAAACGTTTATTAAAACTTGTTAAAGAAACAAATTATAACATTTACATATTATTATTACATTTACATTTATTGTGGGTTCATCGTGATAGTGTGAAGAGCAACAAGATAAAGTTTATGCAGAATGTTATTGATTCTTTTAGAAGTGGTCCACGCCCAATGCAGCATCTTTTAAAGTAAAAATTGTTAAGAATATTTGCAAATTTGCAGCTCTCTAGTTGCTTCTAATCTGTTAACAATATTGCGTTTAAAACCTTTTAAAACTATGTTTTAAAATCTTTCAATTATACTTAATACTATTTTAAATATATCATAATAACTTTTTTATTATTATTATTATTCACCTCCCCAAGGCCCGAGGGGGCAATTACAGTCGAGGAGGCTACTCATTTTTTTTTTTTTTTTTAACTTTTTGTTGTAAATCGTGGTACAAACCTCTCTCAACTTTTTAACTCCGAAATACAAACCTTGAAAAACAAGGCCGCTGCGCGGAGAAATTAAGTTGAGCGCGGTACTTACAGGGACATGGTGGGAGTCGGACTCCGAACCTCTCGCTTTCAAAGCGAGCGCTCTTACCACTACACCACTACCGCATCAACTAATAAAGGAAACACTTAAATACTTCTCAATGATTTTTCCTGATTTGAAATTAGCTTGATTTTCAAAAAGATTCGAGGACTGATACCCAAAAAAGGCCCTATTTATAAGTTTGTTGTAACGTCAAAAGCTCTTATTTTATAAAATGTGAGCTATTGACGTAATAGTTTTTTTAGAAAGTTTATACTATTCTATGCACATATATAGTTTAGCATACATATTATTATTTTTTTGCATTACCTTAAGGTAATGCAAAAAAAACACCAATAAAACGAATATTTTACGTCTAGAACTTACATTGCGAATGATTATTTGAAGAAATGTTCCTATTATATCATTTTTCTAACAATTGAAATGAAATTTAACAAATTCTTTAAATAGTAGCTATTAACAACTTAAGCATAAGTGTTGGAATGGTAAATACATTAAATTAGAAAATTTTTAAATTATTAAAAAAATCGTGTTTTCAATTACTTAAACATGTTTTTCCTAAAGAGTTATATTCTTTTACTTTTTGTTAATTTCTGTCGGTAGTTTAAAACGTGATTTGCTTGAAAAATTAGGCATTGAGGATCTCGAGTTAATTTTATTTCTTATAACGTCATCTTTAGATTTGGAACTAGCTGCTTTTTTTGAAGCCTGATACAAGCTTCAATTGCTTGGGTGTGACATGGAAAATATTCAATTGGATTTTGGAACAAATATCTTTATCGAAAGTTCTTTGCAGCAAAGGAGGTTATAAAAACGTAATATTGTTCCACTCAATCATCTCAGTGAAATTGTAAGCAAAGAAATGTATTTTTGGTGGTTAAAAACTCCTGACTTTTTGAAAAGTCTTTTTGCCCAGATCATTTATTTTAAACCAAAATTTTAAATCACAATTTTCTAAATTGTACTTGTTTGTCTACTAATATTGTCAAAAGCGAGTTTACTCGCTTTTGACAATAAAAATATGTAAATTATGTAAATATGTAATTAGTTTGTATAAAATGTATATATGTAAATTATGTAAATATGTATTAGTTTGTATAAAAATATGTAATTAGTTTGTATACATAACATGCAAAGTAAAAAGAACTTCAATAGTTTTCCATTATTTTGCACTTTTTGAGACTAGTAGAAATTTTTAATGTTTATCCCAAAATATATTATTGCGCTTTGAATGATTCAGCGCAATCCGCAATAGATTAAGTATGATTTAATAACAAGTTTGACAATAATTATAACTCTGCAAAAAAACGCTTCTCTCAATTAATGAGTCTATTACTTTCAGTTAAAATATTAGCCAGGAATCTCGACATTTTTATCAATTCAATTACATTTACTGATCTAATTTTTTATGTATTTGATTTTTTTTGATATAAAGCTATACCGGGACATATGATTTTTATAAAAAAGTAGTATAACTTTATGTTCCTCTGTTGGTGTTTCAAAACTCAAAAACAATTTTAAAACTCTATTTGCAGTTGTTAACACCTTAAGTGTGAAATTGTTTCAGGTTCACAAACAGATAAATCTTCAGAACAATTGCGAGATTTAATAGCCAAACTTATATTCCTCAAGAACCGCTGATCTTTGCTTAAAAGGTTTTTCCGTCAATTTCTCAATAGATTCTGACAAACTTTACCACTGGTAATTAATCACATTTACTAAGCTTTATGCTAATTAAACCACTAAACAATTTTGGGGCTGTTGCTTCTCCGTTAAAAGAAAAAAATGCTGGAATGGCAATTCGTTGAAGTTTAACAAGTAAATCCGCTATTGTAGTGGTTTTTTAAATGTTTTTTTTTATTGTTTGAATAACACCAGTTTTCCATCCCATGTTAATTATAGTGACATTACATCCTTTAATAAAATTAAAATCAAGTTTCATTCAAATTAATGCTACTGGCAATGTTTTCAGCAGACTCAGAAAAAAGTGAAACATGACTAATGTACACGAATCCTGGTTCTTGTAAAATTGAGGAATGCTCCTCTTTCATGCTCGCTTTAATTAAAGTTTTTTCACGATTAGAGTTTTGTCCTTCCTCCCATCAAAAAACATTCTTTGAAGTGAGTTATACATTTTTTACTCTCCATTTGAAGTTGAGAACGGTTATTCACTTTTGCTCTTCTAATTTTATTTTAGGAGCCTATACCCAATCTCAGACATTAAAATTTCATCCACTAACAATGGGCTATATTTAGAAGTTTAAAAAAATTTTAGTCATTTTTGATACATAGTTTCTAAAATATTCCACGAGGAAGGCTTTGTACGATGGAAATAAAGTTAGCACACTTTCAAATTGAATTTCAATAAGACTAAAAGACTGAGTTATTTTTTTGAAAACCAAATATAAATACTAATATTTAATATCTTACATCCTTTTCATTGTAGAACAGAAATTTATCGACATTGCATTGAAGAAACCAATAAGATTATAATCAGGGGATTTGGATGGGCAGTCAATTACTTCAATATACATTTCTTCTAGCCACTCTTTTGTCACTGATGAGGAATGAATACTTGCTTTATCTTTATCTGGAAAGAAGTTAATATCGTTCTTTAAATGAGCAAAGGGTATCGAATTTTAGAATGAGTTTCTTTGTACTTTTCCAATTCTTGATCTCCAATATGGCTAGTTCTCATTTTCTTTCCTCACTAAAATCACTCACATTTTAATCCATCTAAGCCATCCCAATCAAATTATTTTTTTTCCGAAAAGATGGCTTTGCTTCACGTCTTCTCAGCTTACATGTTGTTTTACCTACTCAAGACGGTTCTGCTTTTGGGTCTGAGTGAGCATTGGTGAGGCCATGCTCTTGCAACACTTTAAGTCTTT